ATATATTAGATTTTTCCATTTTTTTTTCTAATTTAATTTTTAGGAAACCATTATATCTTAGATCTTCCGTGCATTGTTGCAACTATTTAGCTTTCAGTTGATGGACTTTGAAGGGTAGATCAAAGCTAGCAACAAGGATTAATTAGTGACGCCGACGTAGGCCAACCAAGTAAAGTGCCTTTACTATTGGATGCCCACGAGCTTGGTTGGATGACTTATGTGTTGTATGAATGACACGTACCTTGTAGCCCCTATACGTGTCATATTTTTTATGATGTTATGCTATGTTATAATTATGCTATATAATGAAATTACGTTATGACATATGCGTACCTTGTAGCCCGTGCACTTCTATATTTCATGTCACATATATTATGTTAACATGTTGCAACTATGCCTAGGAGACATTGATAAGTCATCTTGAACCATAAAAGATATATCAAGTATATATATATGCATGTCTTATAGAAACGTTATGTCATGAAAAAAAAAATGGAGTTACAATTTGCATCATAATTATGTATCATGATTTGAAACCATGGTACCTCATGCAATTTATATGTCATGAACATTGAGATACTTTTTCGTTATGATTAGTATGGATGTGTACACCATGATATTATACACGGTATTTTCCTGTGTGACTTTTAGCAGCATGAACATGTGCTAGCTTGTAGTCAGATAGAGAATTATTATACACCAACCCTACCGGAACTCAAAAATAGAGCCCAAAGAAAAGTATTATAAAAAAGAAGCTCGCTTTTACTAATATTCTAATAGTTGGCTCGGAAGAAGCTCGACTGAAAAGGAGAGGGGCGGTCACAAATGAACTATTATTTCTCCCTCTGATCCTTCTTTTTTAACTGGATGAAGTTACTTGGCGCTGGCTGTTCTGAGCTAAGGGACGTTTCACTAAAAGGAGAAAGGCACATAGGATTAGATCGCTTGATCATACACCACAACGGGCCCGTTGACTGGCTTACTCCCAAATGAATAAGGAGGAGAAGAGAAAAGAAAGAAGAAGAAATGAGAGTGAAGACGAAAGACGAAAAAGTCATTCTTTAACTGAGGTAAAGCTTACCTGACGAGACAAGAAGAAGAAGAAGATTATTACATTACAGGAAAGGGTCGGTCAAGTCCTCTCTTCTAAGTCACCTCTAGAGCAAGCAAGCCACCAAGATGAATTTACATCCGGGAAAGGGGGTAAAGCTAATAACCTAATAACGTTTGGAGAAGGCAAGCAGCAGGCAAGCAAGAACAAGATATGAATTACAGGCTGGAAGGGGTCAAGTTAACCTAACGTCTTCGAGCAAGCCAACTAACTACATTGTAAGGTCAAGTACCCTCTTCTGATCTAGAGCAAGAACTAGATTTACATTACAAGAAGGGTAAACGTATCTGACGTCTCGAGAAAGAGAAAGAAGACAAGATATGAATTACAGACGGATAGGTAAATGAGTTTACCTTTCATTCTTTAGTTACCCGTCATTGACTCTATTTATTATTATGGTAAATCACTGTATCAAGATGTCAATTTGAGATCTTAATTCGGTTCGATACGTCCACCTACGAGACTGACCTTTGGCTTTCGTCATGGTAGGTGTATTATTTTACATTTTCCCAAAATCACATTCATTCATTTCTTTCTTCCCCGTCGACCACGAGGACTGAAACGATGCGCAAAATCCAAACCCGAAAAGGATCAGGGCCGGTGGTTTCTAAAACTTAATAAAAACCAACCAAATTTTATAAATAAAGACAATAAGAAACAATCAATAATCATTAACATTAACTTGACAAATAATTGCTTGTTTTTATTTGAGAAAGAATACAGGTTGGTTATTGCATAATTATACTAACTTTGGCTTTCTATGCAAAATTATTGCTATAATTGTGACATTTAAATCATTGCCATATATATAATGACCTAAAATAAAGAAAAATTATTATTTAAAATATTAAGATATGACATTTTTCTTTCCTGTCAATTATTGCGGTTGTCGATGTGATTTTCTAATTTTTCTTTTTTTTTTCTTTTGAGAATAAAATTATTTTAATTATTTGGATTAAGCAAAGTTTACTGTTTCCTTTCAGAAAGAGATAAGCATTGAGGTTTTGACAATTTTTCATCCTTTATTATTAAAAAAATGTCAAATTAGAATAATATTTAACCATATAAAAATGGTTTCTAAGGATTTCCATGACCTCTATAGCGACAATGTCGTCTATAGGTGTCTTACTTTTATATGAAAAAGGTAGCACGTGAATATTTAAAAATACTCGGTAAATAGTATTTCTTTGGTCTCTACTTTCCAGTCCTGACAGGGTTGGGTGTATAGCATTTCTTTATACATGACCCACACATGCACACACCAAGTCAACTGGTATACATAACTCTTGGGCCTAACTATGGGCTAGCGATTGCTCGCACTACCAGAAGCCACAAAGGAAAAGAAGTACGTATAATATCATGGTGTAAATGTCTATATTAACCATAACGAGAAAGTATCCTGATGCATGTCATGAGATACAAAATACTTGAGGTTCCATATTTTTAAATCATGATACATATCTCAAGTAAATCATACCTCCATTCTTTTCATGTCATACATGTCTATGAGACATGCATACCTAAACTTGACATATCTTTCATGGCTAAGATATATGGTTTATCAATGTCTGATAGTCTGATAGGTATAGTGTGAACATGCTAACATAACATATGTGGTACAAGATATGGAAGTACATGCATTGATATGAAATCATTCCAAGGGAAAGTATGGAACAGATTACCTTGATGATCAAGATCAAGAGTAAAGAAAACTCGTTTCTAAATTCGTTATTCGAATCACTCCACAATAGATTTGATGACTATCACTTGAATGATTCTAGCATGCAAATTCTAAACACGAGAATTTGCAAAGAAGATCTTAGCTCTCAACAAAACTAAAAAATAGAAATTTTATTCATTTTTAATTCCAAGATGTGATGTCTTTGATCAAAGAGAATGAAGTTTAACAACCTTAACCTTAACCTATATGACATAATGAGAAGTACCCATAACCTCTCATTTTAATGGGCAGTGAATAGTGGAATATGGTAGCCTAGTTAGGTTACAATAACCTCTTTTAACTCTTCTATTAAAAAGAAATAAATATTTAAATTATAATTAAATAGAGTCAGGAATGAAATTTGCTTATTTGTCCTTGGTGCATATTTTTCTTCATTTTTCTTGAAGTTCAACTTTAAGAGTACCATGGAGGTCTTAAAATTTAGCTTGAGTTCATTAAATACCAGCCATGCATATTTTTCTTGAAGTTCAACCTTAAATCATTTAATGTATATTTTTCTTGAAGTTCAACCTTAAATCATTTAATGTATATTTTTCTTGAAGTTCAACCTTAAAGCATAATGAAGGTCTTAAATTTAGCTTGAGTTCATTAAATACAAGCATTTAATGCATATTTTTCTTGAAACTTTAAACCTGTAAGGAAGGTCTCCAACATCTTCTAGAATTTTTTTTGATGAACTCACCATAGCTTGAATATAAGTGTACAAGGTTCGTTGTAGCTTCTTGTCTCTCGTTCTTGTAATTGGACTTTGAGGTATGAAAATTCTTTGGTCGTGGTTCATATCATGCATCATATAACATTCATATCACAATGTAATTTCTTAACCCAGCACAATCATAACATAGCACAACATCACAAAACTATGACACATTAGGAGTCACAGATACATGTCATTCATATAGCACACAAGTCATGCAACTAAGCTCGAGACATTTAATAGTAAAATCACTTACTTGGTTGGGCTAAGCCACCGTGTGAATAATTTTTGGTACAAGTTGAATATGCTCCTCAAAGTCCAATTCAACCTAGATAAGTCCACAACATTAGGCTAGAACATATTAAAAGGGGTTAATCCACCTAAAGGCATCAATTAATTCATTTATCTTAGCTCAAAATACTTTAAGTTTCTCAAATAGTGGCCATGCTAACCTCAAATGCTTTCAAGGAGGTAAAAAAACTGCTCCAAAAGAGAACAAAGTAAAAGTGTCTAAAAGAGTGATACGAGACCTAAATGAGGTACGGTTGGAAAAGGGGGGAAGGTCGTGATCTGGGTTGGGTTGCTGATAGTTTGGGCACAGGTAGGTAGAAGTGGTGAGTCTGGGTCGAGAACGCACGTGGGCTAGACAACGGATAAGGTTTGTAGGGTGGGAGATGGATTGGGTTGAAGACGCGTTTGATGGGGTTGGCTGCGTGGTTGGGTAGGATGCATGTCGAACACTATTGTTAGGAGTCATATTCGAACTACATCCAAAACTATTTCCTTTACAGATTACTTCCCTTTTATTCTGTGTTTTCGCTCTTTTTTTTCTTTTCTAATGTTGTTTTTAGCCAAATTGTGGACATTTCTGATCCACTTTGGACCTTATTTTAGGGGTGGATTTGAGTAAAAAATTCCTTGTACACATAAGTAGAAATTTATTTAAAGCAATGACTTCCCTTCCAGTAGAATTGAATCTCCGTAATGGAGGGCTAATCCTATGCTACGGAGACTTAGTTGAGAGATTTGGAAGAGAGTTGGAGATATTTAGGCATGGGGGAGACCGAAGAACTAGTTCTCCGTTTTTTTTTTTTTTTGGGTATTAAAATGATGAGCACAAATTTGTTTATAACAATCGCAAATCATATATGATATCATAAATGAATGTAAGAGTTGATTAATCATAATAGATTGTTTGAATTGTGTTGTGAATAATGTTATTGATACATAGGGTAAAATTCCTTTACAATATTAAATAAAGAATAAAAATTGATCCAATTATTTTGGAATGTCCTAGAAAATCGGGAACAGTTTTATTATTTTTTTTTCATTAACAATCAAGCGTGGATCATTTGCAATGGCAATTGGCATTCGGCAATCGGCAATTGGCAATTGGCAAGTGGGGCCTCGTTTTTTCTCATCGACAGGACGCTTGTGGTCGCCGATTTCCCCTTTTTCAATTTTTGAAGGGGAAACCGATAGAATTCGCAATCACAATCCTGTTTTCAACACAAAACGGAGTAATTCTCCGGAGGCGGAGAGATTAGAAGATAAACTATCAACTACCCATATTCTCGTCTCTATCCTTTTTAGTCAATTCGTATTTTGTATGCGTACATATGGTACCGATACCCTTTTGATATTTGCGTGTGTTCTTATCTCTCTTTTCTTCGCCATTGCCCCAGAGACGTGATTATTCCGCTTTTTTCTCCTAATTGCATTATTGACCATTCTGTTCTTGGCTGAAAGTGAATCCCATTCCGGATCTTCTTGTTCGGGAGTTGAGTTTCTTTGATTGCCTTGTCTGATAAAAGGGGTCTGCGTTAATCTCCTCTTTCCGATCTTAAGAACCCAGGTTTTGATCTTACTTATACTAGCTCTCGATTCATTTTCTTCGCTTCCTGTTTCTGATTCGATTCTATTTCATTTCAGAAGTGTTTGATTTTCCGGTTAATCGGATTGTTTTAAAATTTTTACAAGGAGCTGAGTATTTAGATTCTGGTGGTTTCTGTTAAAAGTAGCCATTGACTGCATACGATCCTTTACCGCGAAGTCTTGAAAGTTCATCTATCAGGTGGAGTTATGTTACTTTTGGAATCTCGACAGCCTATGTCAGATTTATGCCAAATTCTTATGTTGTTTTTCTTGCAGATTGCTTGAAAATTAGCTTTGGGAATCGTTTGGTATTTTGCTTGAACATTTTGAGATAATTGGAAAGATGACCATTGACAATCTTGCACCGAGGGAGGAGAAGAGGTCGGGCAGGAAGAAATCTGTGGTGGATGAGAAATCTCCTTTGTTACCATGTAGACAAGATGAAGGAGCTGGGATTAATGAATTCAGTGGAGCTTCCTTCAGTGGCGCAGTGTTCAATTTATCGACCACAATCATTGGTGCTGGGATCATGGCTTTGCCTGCAATGGTCAAAGAGTTGGGCCTATTTGTAGGGATTACTATGATCATCTTCATGGCATTCCTTACAGAGACTTCAATAGAGCTTTTGCTCAGGTTTAGTCGGCCGAGGAAGTCGGCTTCTTATGGAGGTTTAATGGGAGATGCTTTTGGGAGATATGGTAAAATAATCTTGCAGATATGTGTTCTTGTCAACAACATTGGTGTTCTTACTGTCTACATGATCATTATAGGTGGGTTTCAATCACTTTATGAACTTGTCATCAAATCTATTTCTATGATTTTGTTTTAGCTATTGTCAATTGTGTGCTAGTGGTTTCAGGATATTCAATGAGTAACTTTCTTGGCTAGAAATAGTTGTATATGCATTTTGATGAGATAAACAAGCGTGGTATGATTTTCTCCTAGGTGATGTGCTCTCCGGAACTACTGCGGACGGTGTTCACCATGCTGGTGTTCTTGAAGGATGGTGGGGTCGACATTGGTGGAATGAACGATTTTTCATACTTCTAGTTACAACACTTGGAATCTTTTCACCATTGGCATGCTTTAAGAGGATAGGTTAGTGCTTTAATTTTCATTTGGAACAGTTACTGCAAACTTCTTCATCATGTTCTGATTATGTTTTATGAATATTATTTTCGTTCCAAACAGCTTAAGATAGATGATAGTCTTGTTTTGTTTAATTTTGCACCTAAAAAGGCAATTTTCTGAAGGATTCCAACAACAGGACAAATGCTTTTAAATGGTCAAAAGAACTTCCAAACACAAATGTTTATGTTTGGCAACTATTTTGAAGTGCTTTTTAGAAAAGTTGCACGCATCCTAAGCATTCTTTCCATGAAAAAAAAATACCAAATTTATGTTCCACTGAAAAGATAAGCTTGGATATTTATATAGGTATTATGGAGTTCTAATTGACCCTTGTTGGTTGCAGATTCATTGAGCTTCACATCTGCCTTATCAGTTGCACTGGCTGTGATATTTCTTATCATTACCATCGGAATTTCAGTTTACAAGTTGATAGATGGAAGCATTCAGATGCCCAGATTGTTCCCTGAGATTATTGATGTGTCATCGTTCTTGAAGCTATTTACGGCTGTCCCGGTGGTCGTTACTGCCTATGTATGCCATTACAACGGTAACGCACGCTGTTCTGTTTTCCTTTTAGGCTTTCAATTCCAAGCTTAGCTTCTTGCATCCTTGTTCTGTTGGTAGGGCTGGAGAGAGTCTTATGCTATAGGGGCCATGAGCTGACATTCTTATTGGTTTCTAAAAAGTGATGTTCATTGAGTTTTACAAAAGATTGTTGGCGGCTAGCTTTTACATTATTTGATGACCTCTATCAATGTATAGTTTCGTTCCATTACTTTTCATTAGGGCCCGGGCTTTTTCCAGCTGTTCAATGGCCCCCACGGAGTTCTTTTGAATTTTGAATTGTTTTCAAGATCCTCGGTTTTCGATTATCTAATTAAATTACTCAATGAGAGTAGGTTGTCTTTCCATTCATTTCAAACATGAATATTTCGATTCATTTGGCTCTCATGCTCAATTATTGCAATTTTGCAATTATTTCTGAGAAATTCTCATAAATGATAGGATCCGAAACGTGTTAAACTAAGTTTCTGGTACATGATGTAGCAGTTTGGATGTTTGAGGGTAATCTTATATTAATGGCTTCTTGGCTGCAGTTCACAACATAAGCAACGAACTGGAGGATCCTTCACAAATAAAGCCAGTTGTACGAACTTCCATTGGTCTGTGCTGTTCTGTTTATGTTATGACCAGCATCTTCGGCTATCTCCTTTTCGGTGAAGGAACTCTGTCGGACGTACTTGCGAATTTTGATGCTGATCTTAACATTCCCTTTGGTTCTGTGTTTAATGATGCTGTCCGTGTTAGCTATGCAGCACACCTGATGCTTGTATTCCCAATCGTGTTTTACCCGTTGAGAGTTAACTTGGATGGCCTCCTCTTTCCATCCGCTCGACCATTGGTTCGAGACAACTTGAGATTTTCGCTGATCACAGTCTCGCTTGTTACTCTCATATTCTTGGCAGCAAATTTCATTCCCAGTATCTGGGATGTCTTCCAATTTACTGGTGCAACTGCGGCTGTGTGCATTGGATTCATATTCCCTGCTTCTGTTGCTTTGAGGTTAGCTAGTTACTTCTCTGGCTTGGACAGTGGACATGGTGTTCGGTTCGAATTTACGATATTGATGGCGTTTTTGTTTTCAGGGATTCGCACTGTATAGCGACGAAAAGGGACAAGGTGTTGGGTATCTTCATGATTGTGCTTGCAGTTTTCTCAAACATCATTGCCATATACAGCGATGCGTACGCTTTGTTCAAAAAGGACTCCTCGCCCCGAGACTGATCGATCGTGACGCGTGGGAGAAAGATTGCGACGCAGCATCTTCAGCCAAGAAACCTCAGTCCTTGCGAAGCCAGATTTTCAATCTGTTGATTTGGAAATTGAAGGTTTTGGGTAGGAGTTGAGTTAAAAAAATAACGAGATGAATGTGCAGTTGTGTTGGATGTTATTTGGGTTGTTGTGATAGTGTTAGTGCATTGGGTACTCTTATCATTTTCATTTATTTGTGTATTGTAGTTCCTTCTCTTCTTATCTGTAATAAACATGGTGGAACTTTTGAAACCCATGCATGTTGCGCACGCACGTTTAAGCGTGGCCATTGTTTTTTGTTTCTGTGCAAAGGAGTGTCCTCCTATGCTTTGTTTTTAAAATTTGTTTTGTTCTTTTCAACTCTCTCCATCATCCTAAAATATTGACATCCTCTAGCTTTTGTGAATCCATTTCTTAGTATTTAAGTTTTGAAATGTTTTTATTATTGCTGTTTTGTTGGAACTACTAGTGAGTAGTTATGTCTTAAGTTTGATTTTAATGTGCCCTTCCTCTGTAGATTTTCACCAAAAAGTGTGTCTTGCCCCTAAGCAGGTAGGAGACACAATTAACTTTCTAGTCTTCGGAGTAATTCATACACCCAAATATTATCTCGATTGCCTCGACCCATTCTTATGCTAAGTTGAATTGATTACATTTTTGTCAAAGGTTGGAGGATCATGCTCCTGAAAATTCCTAATAATTTTTTTGTTCTCATGTCATGCCGACATTGTCCCCCCTTGGTTGGCCCTAATGACTAGTATTAACATTTTAAGAGTTTCATGTGAGAACATCACCATATTTGAAGGTGGAGATATTATATGCTCCTAGGCTTGAACTGGGAGTGCATGTCCTTGCTCGAACTCTTGAACATGTGGTGCCTATTCTAGGGTTGAATCCTGAGTAGGGTTAGACTCGGTTGGAGCCCTTACAGTATCCCTACCACTTCCTTGTCCATTACTTGTGATTCTAGGTGCCATGATATACTCAAATTACTCAATATTCAACCCAAATCATTAGCCTTAATAGGTACATGTGCAACTAACAATGCATGGAAACTTTAAATCATAGGACGAGGTAAGGTCGTTACTTGCTACTTGCTACTTACCCACTTGCTTACCTTATGGAGAAGGAATGTGATTGCAAGCCAAGCTGGAGAGGGCCTTACTTACCCACTTGCTTACCTGATTCAGGAGTAACATGACTGCGAGTCAGGTTGTTGAGGGCCCACCTAACACTCAATCTGAAAGAAAGTGTCTATAGGACCTAACAGTCAAGGGATTTGTTACCAAGTTGGAACGATCTGCTTTTCAATGTCTCAAATCACAGATTATCACATGGACTCAAGGGGTAAAACGACGATAAAATATTTCAAATTAAAATTTAAATATACATTAAAACTTATATAAGATTAATTAAAAGTACAAATAGCATTCAATATATTAAAATGACAGGGAAGGAAGACGATTCAATCTAAGGGCCCTTCCTACACCTGCACGCTCCTATCATTGACAATGGTCTACACTCCATCTGGAAAAAAAATGGAATAACATGGGATGAATATAAAATACTCAATAAGCAACGTATGCTCTTGTCGGATTTATTCTCATACACGAAAAACTTAGGCTAATGCTTGGAACTGTCGCGAGAGGTTGTCAAACTGTGGCTTAAAGTTTGTACTAACATTTGCAGATATGGGTTTCACATATGTCTATGTACTTCTTCAATCTCCTGGAAAGTGCATTCAGTCATTGTGGCCAATGGAAGGGCCCTAGGGTAATACTCTAGAGGAGCCTTTTTGCTCTAAAATGGTAACCGTACTCCATACTTGTTTACCTATAAAGCTCTAAGCGAAGGGATCTCCATAACGGTGTCGAATAACATTTACCTTTTCCTAAGATCAGTAAAATACCTTTAACTATGCCTTTACAAGCTGGAACAGTAGCTATCTGCTCGTGTACCCACCTCGGATTAGAAGAGTAAACTACCTGTCTTGGGATCAATAACTACACGTTACTTCGCCATTTCATGCTAGAACAGTAAACTACTTGTCACTATACCACTAAAGCTAGAATAGTAAAAAGTTCATGGCTCCCCACTAGGCACCACCGATAGTTCTCAAATAGTAAACCCTATATGATTCTTGAAATCCCCTACCGATGACAAGTAGACCCTAACCCCTATTGGTTAGTTCAAGAATATAGGTTGTGCCCTATTCGTCACTACAAGGTACCTTGTCAACCCAAAGATGCTATAGAACTCATGACTAGGTTCTAGGACAAAAATACGCAAAATAGTAACTCCTAACCTATCTAAAACATAAATAACACTCTATGGCACATAACAATAATCCAACTCATAATTAGGCAATAACGATTATCCAAATCCTAAATCATACATAATAAACGTATAAAGACATACAACATGCTTGTTATGCTCATCACGTGATAATAAACCAAACTCAGCGTGCTGGAGAGCATAAAAGTCTAATAAACTATGAGAGTTTACCATTCATGCGTGTAAAAGTTATATAACTCTAAATAGAATTAAATTGTAAACCATTCACATCAAACTAGGTCACTAGGCTTTTAAATTTGATCTTAATCGACTCCTACAAGTATTTTTCAAAAAGTTGCTCTATATTAGTTACTTACTGTAGTGTAGATTTCTTGAGCTTGTTTCCCGTCTTTGAGGACATTCCAAATTTGACTAAAACTTCTTTTCAGCTTAACATCCTATTCTAGCCTGAGTCTAAGAAAATAAATGCAACTACCCTATGCATGTGCCATGATCTCATGTTGCGATACCGTCGTCAGTCATAGAAGGATGTCTTGTCTTTACCTAAAATAGAAGTAGCACGTGACTTGAGTATTTTAAGAAATACTCAGTAAGTGACCCCACTATTGCGGTTAAATGCAAACACATACAATTTCATGAATGAGACCTATCATAACAGTCTATTTTTCTAAGGCGGCCATCATAACGGGCAATTGGGATGTGTACTTAATTTTTCTACACATGGTATAGACGTGCAAGTATGGATCCACTAATCGATTTGCACACCTCCTCGGCCCCTTTTCTAGTCGGGTGAGCATTCTCTGGTAGTTGTTGATGCGGATACCATTAGGAATAACGACCATCACAGCATCATCATGATAACATAATAATCGTTCTCCTACCTTGTAGCGTACGCATTCGTACCATCATGAAGGAAAATGGGTATCCCCCAATGCATGAGCACACAATAATGCATGAGCACACAATAATGCATGAGGTTTCAACATTTTTCCATTTTTATTATCATTTAATACAATTTTGCTAGCGTTTTCTTTCATACCATATCATTTCTCATATCGTTTAGTATATCATTTATTATATCTTGCATGCATATGTCAGGGTTGTATTTTATGCTAGTTCGTCATTTTGCATGTCAATCATATCACTCATGTGACACATATATCATATCATAATATTTCTATGTTGTCAGACATAACAATCCACATCATGCACATATCATATCATATCGTAAATCATAACAGTCACATAGCATATCTTGGGTGTGCCTTCAACATATCTTATCATAATTATGTCAATTCATCAAACCCATCGTACCATAACATATATCATATCATTCTCATATTATATTACAATATTTATAAATACATACATCGTTCCTATATCTTACCATTTCGTAAACATTTTATAGTCATATCGTTCCATATACTTATCCTGGTCATATAGTTTCCTAAACTTATCCTAACCATATCGTTTCACTAGTCTATCATAATCATATCCTTTTTTTATACATAACCTAATCATATTGTTTTATCAATCTATCATAACCATATCGTTTTTTATACAAAGCCTTATTGTATCATTTTGTCAATCCACCATAACCATATCATTGCATTACATAACCTAACCATAACGTTTTATGAACATATCTTAGTCTTATCGTTACATTACGTTTATCATATCCTTCTTGTATCCTATCTCAAACATATCATTGAACACATCGTACGGTAAGTGTTATCATACAATTCACATATCATATCATATTCATACCGATTCATAAACAATTCACACATATCAAATATATGACACCTGCAGAACTATGGGGCACGTGTCAACATCAAATATAACCATGCCGATAGTAAGGTCACTTACTTGGTTGGCCTTACTATCGTCCTTAGTCAACGTTCCATCTTATTTCCAAGATTGACTTGACTTGTCCCTCAAAGTTTGTAACGACCCTCGAAGATAAATCCACTATCAACATATTCCCTCGCTGCCTTCCAATCAGCAGATCTCCGAGCACATCGAACTAACTCTGACGAGGAAGGAAAACTATCTAGAACTCTGACAATGGGCTCCGATTTTCAGAAAAGGGAAATGAAGTTGAAACGACGTTTGGAGGAGGATTTATGGGTTAAAATTAAGGAGCTTGAAGGGGAGTGAGAAACATTAATGGAGTCGAAGTGTGAAAGAAATGAATGAGGAGAGACAAATCTAATCGTTGTAGTAAAGATTGTGAGAATGCTTGTTTAATCCACCCCACCTAAATGGTGTGAAAATTATCTTATTTATAATCAAATAAATTACAAGGATATGGAAAGAGTAATAAACGGAAATAACAATAAATGGAAAGATACCTATGGTAAAGATATTTGCCTTATAATAAATGTCAAATATGATTTATATGGTAAACTATAATTTATTACTAAATATCCTTGACACCCCACCGCAAGTTAAGCGTCGGATTTTGAACGAACGTGAAGCTTGGATCTGAAAAATTCAAAGAGAGGTTGAGAAACACTTTTCGTGAAGATGTCAACAACCTGATTCGGAGGAGACGTAGAGAAACACTTTCTTGACCATCGAAAACTGCAGAGGGATCGTCGCTCAGCGGCGATGCTACCTTGGCTTCGGCGAGAATATGTCTAACCCATGAAGAGGGATCGTCGCTTACCGACGATGCTGCCTTGGCCTTGGTGAAAATATGTCAACCCAAGAAGTAGAAGGGAAAACCTAGAGCAAGGGACAAAGACAATGTTGAAGCCGGAAGAGTCGCCACAGTGGACGAGGGGTCAATTTTGGCTAGAAGGGCGACGGTGACTTGTTTGGTGAAGAGGCCAATGCGGCGCCTAGATTCCAAAGTAAATCTCTGCAGAAGGTTGATAGGTTTAGGTTAGGGTTTCTATGAAGAATGAAGAAAGATTGGGAAGAAAATGAAAGAGACTATGTTGGTTGGAGGAAAATCGATTGTGTTGGAAAAAGTGAGGTTCTATGTACAAAGTATGGCGAAGGGTGATTTGGAGGTCAAAAGGATGGAACCGAAGAGTAA